TCACTCACACACACACACACTCACTCACACACACACACACGTATACTAAATATAAATTAAATCACCGACAAATTATTCTACTGTCAACTATATATTTACATATAGACAAAAAAAGATAACATACCTTTTAATTAAAAGATTGTTTTTTAAGAACAAGTATTGTGTTCTTTCGTACTTTTAATTACTTTGCTTTTTTTACAATATAACACACACTAATATAACTTAGGTTATCAGACAACCAGCAAGATGAGTACTTAGAAAATGATACTCTAAACGTACGTTGCTACGTAAACAATATTCACTTATTTAAAATGCATCACTTCATTTTATGGCTCTGTTCAAAGAGCATGTTATCTATAGTTTATACTATTTCATCATTTAGCTTATTAGAGTTGTGTTCACTACCTGTATTGGAAATCTATAGTTCATGTCACATATAATATAGATAATATAGAACATAGCATATACTATGTATAACGCGCTCTCTAAACCAATATTCCCGAACCGTAATATAAAGCAATGCATTTTAAACAAGTAATTATTGTTTATATCAACATTATCAACATATGTTTTAAAATATTATCTTCTAAATACTCATCTTGTTGATAGTGTGTTAACTTAAATTATATTACCGTGTATTATATTTTTTTAAAAAACACAGTAATCAAAAAAAAAAAAAAACGAAAAAATAAAACTTTTGTACAAAAAAGAAATCTTTTATTTAAAAAGTAATGTTATTTTTTCTTTGTCTACATATAAAAATTGACAGTAGAACAATTTATCAGTGATGTGGTTTATACATTTATTATTATAAATAAAGTGCAATACTGTTAACAAATTATATTATACAGACACAAAATTCTTGTTAAAACATTAAATTATAACAAATTATATTATAAAAAACGAGATTCTTTATAGATTATAAAAAGATTTCTTTGAGTTACGTTATACCCAGGCAACCAGCTGACGTTATAATAACGTTAATATAAAGTCAGTTTTTGACCAGTTCGACGTTAGTTTATGACGTGATATTAACGTAATGACGACGTGAGTTTGTCTCGTCAAAAATGACGTCATGTTAACGACGTTTACTTACGTCATTAATCTGACGTAACGTGATTAACGTGAAAAAAACTAATGGCACATCGTAAGAGGGGNATTAATTCGAGATTTCACTCAAATTAATCTTTGGAGACCTGATTCAGTTTGTCGATCAACTGATTAACTCGATGAAAGGTATTATGTCCGGAAAAAATCCTGAGGTGATGATGAGATTTGAACTTGAGACCTCCATATTCGCAGCCCCTGCACTCAGTCCGCAAAACCACTTGTTTCTTAATAAAATGTAATTCTTTTCTCTGCTTATTCTTATGCTATTCTTCGCATTTCATTTATTCCTTATTTAAATTATTATTTAATTATTAAATAATTTATTTAATTATTAAAAATATTGCAGTGCAATATTTGTAATAAAATAATAATTTATATAAGTTACAAATGAAAAATA